ATTGCCACGAGTGACCTGGGTCACAGGGCAGATGTGAATTTCAAAAGAATGTTATGCATTTTCCATATCATCCTCTGTGTTGTGAGTGTCTAAGAAGCAAACTAATATTTGCTATTATTGGCGGACTTTCATTACGTATGAAAGTGCGTAAGAAGAAATTTGTGGGTCGATCTTACCAGAAGAGGATGAATCCCGTTGTACTGCAGCCGTTTGTCTTCTATACGATGTTCAGGTTGACGTAGTCTACAAGACCTCCCTCGTTTCGAGTGAAAACGGGCTGAGCTTTCGCCCATCATTTGATGGACATCATCAGAACTAGGTCTCGGTCCTGTGAAAGTCTCATGTTAACACTAGGGCAAGAAGACTATCCGGCTCTATCTTGCCACTTACCTGAAACGAGGGAGGAGGTCTCGTGGACTGCTTCAACCTAAACGTCGTATTGAAGCCGAACGGGGTTCATCCGTCCTCTTCTGGTAAGATTGACCTAAGAACCTCTTTTTCATGTACTTTCATAAGAAATGAAAGTCCCTTCAATAATGCTATCTCAGAAAATTAATCGAAACCCAGTTTCTCTTCGTATCTGCAAAGTATGAAAATAGCCAATTATTTTATAGGCATGAAATTAAATTACATACAAGGTAATGTATGTAAGCAAGACGTGATCAACAAAATCATGAGGTTAGCAAAACCAGGTATACGATGTAGCTATGATTACAGCCGGCAACCAAATTCTTGGTTTAGTGTATTAAAGGCATTTTTCATAAATTATGCATGCTCCTTCTGGCAACGTATGCCACATGAAAGACGTTAAGTTCAGCGCGCATTCTTTGGAGTAACAGGACAGAGTGGGAACAAGACAGCATGGCTAACGCATGTTAAAAAATCGGACGCCATGCTAGTCAACCTCATCAGTCACTGTTGCCATAGCCCCGAATTAAATGGAAGTTTGAAGAACAGGTGAGTTTCATTGAGGATAAAAGTGTCCTTTAATCATTCCGACAGTCTTCACTCAAAGGTTATCCTCATTCAGGTTCCGGTGAGGCCACTACATGAACCCCTCTAAAACTTTATAATTGGTAAATAGAAAGAGTATTTGGGTTTTGATGAATCCTTGAAAAGCATATTTTTGGGGAGTGTTTTATTTAAAAAGAAAGTACATAATGAAGAGATTTACTGATTAACCTAACCAGAAGATAATGGCTGATACCCATTGTTTTGCAACCTTTGGGTTTTAATAGTTTTGACGCTCAGGTTGACGCAGTCCACTAGGCATCTAAGCTTCTTTACACTCGTCCAACTTTTCGATTAATTTCCTTAATTATAACGACCATAGACTGACGGATTATGGCGGGTGGTTTCGTAATCCAACTTACCCATGTACAAGCTTACATCTCATCATCTCAACCAGAGTTGCTCACGGACTTACGCTGCCTTAGTCATAGTTTTCACTTGAGTCATTAAGTCTTGATGACCTGGGTCTGACATTAGGCCTCTGTAATCACTCTAATTTAGGACTGGAATTACGTACAGATTTTATCACACGCTTGCGTAGTCACGCTTAAATAAAAGCACCAGGACCAATAGGAAAGAGCATTAGCCAAAGCATACTATATCTACATATTTATGCCCGTACATTTTTTGTTTTTAGTTATTTATACATATTTAAAGCGTTTTCTTCAGACATGTGCAGAGTGAGTTCCAGCTCTGATGATGTCCATCATATCAAGAAAGAGCTTGGTTTGGTTTCACTCGAACCAAGAGAAAATGTCTCGTAGACTTGGCCAACGTGGATGTCGTATTAAAACCAAACGGCTGCCATTGTCTTCCGCTGATATCAACCGACGAATCTCTTCATCATGCATTTTCATACAAAATGAGAATCTCCCCAACCATGAGTGAGATGTACTCCCTATTAGACCAACCCTATTCTGATAGTAAGGAGCATGAGCCAGGAAAATAGTTTGCTTGGCTTTAGTGGTTGTTTGACCTTGTTTTCACAACTTGGTCGTATAGGCAGGAAGACCAAGAGGAACTCACCTAGTCCCGAGTCCATAGCGTGCATGATAATTTTCAGAGTCGGATTGTGGACTTGGTACATTCCCAAGTTGCGAAAACAAGGTCGAACAACTACTATACAACGAAGGGGGACCGCGAACATACAGAAGGCCACGCAATCTTGATTTTCATAGCTACCTGGATCTATAGTCGAACTGGTAGATAGCTAATGAAACAGCTTGGTGCCTGGAAATAAACAGTGTCAAAAATGAACCCATATCGTCATTTGATTTTAATATGACGCTCAGTATGATACAGTCCAGGATGGATCCTTCTTCAGTCACCTTGGCAATAAGTTGAGCTTGCTACTCTCATGCCACTGAAGAAGAGACATTGTTTAAACTTAATTTAATTCTCATTAAAATTTCATTTTGAATCTTGGTCGAAAGGACTGTCTGCGCTATCTTACATAATACACATAATTAAAACCAAAAAAACAGAAAATGATATTCAATGATTTAGTCAGTCCTTTTTTATATAATCTATGTACCTTTGAGTGTCACTGTGCGCGCAAACCCAAGTTATTGCAATAAAACGGAATGTCAATTAAGGGTCATCAAGGTTTAATGACCCAAGTTAGGCATTACTGCGATTGTGTAATCTAGACATGAGTGATGAACCTAGCAGATCATCGAAGCTTGGCTACACCTCGAGAATATGTCGTTTATCAGCAAACCCATATAAGTTACATTATCACTTTATCTCTATATGCATCCTTCTGCATCGAGTCGGTCGTCCACCCGCATATCTATCCATTCCTTCCCGGGGTCACCTTGCCATCCTTGTTCTTTTGCCCAATCTTTGCTCTTCAGCGTCTCATGCCAGCGGTAATCTAGTCTGCCTTTTTCACTTATCGCCTGGCTTTGATGGCTTCATTTACATTTGGTCTACATTTGTACCCTATCACCATGGCGACAATGATAGCTCGACACGCCTGTTCAGTTGACTGGACGAGCAAAAAGGGCTTCAGCCGTACTTTGGGGGGCCGCTTGAAGGAAGCATTCTGCAGTCTCCCCTCGAAACGGTCCCATTATTGTCCATGCAGCCGGCCCCCCTGCCCATCGTGGAGCAGACAGTGGGGCTAGTTGTCCCAGTTGCCCTGCTGGACGGAGGACGAGGGGCGGCCCACTGTGAAGACACGGATCGGGAAAACTGATGCGATTGTGCACACCCAAAAGGCAGATCGAGCCGGGATTCCCTGCTTGGGGAGAGTAAAAAGGGAATGGCAATCTGCGCCAAGGGGCACTGACCAGAGCTTGTTAGTTTACAATAAGTCTTTTAGGGATTCATCTAGCTTAGCAACGGAGGCTTTGGTAGGAAGGCTTGGAAACACGGATAACAAGTTAGCCAGTTCACGGGAGACATGATCCATGCCAAACTAGGCCACATTTCCTAGCATATGACGGACTAGCAAATGAAGTACATCTTTTACGGGCTAAACTGGATGCCTACGGTGTGGGCTTAAGGAGAAATGTGTTGAGGGTTAGTCCGCTCACCTTGTATCCAAGACTTCGGCGCAAATATTCAACGACTTTCGGGGAAATCTTCATTTCATCCTCATTGAGTAGTCCTTTAAAAGGGGACTCTCACTCGCTGGTCTCGGTTCGGGTGAAGCAGGACAGTGATAAATTTGACTCAAAGTTTATGTACAGAAGCTAATTGAAAGTCAGCTTGCATCAACAAAGCTTAAAAATGCCTTCTTATGTGAATGGTGCTTGACATAGTCGTAGTTAGTTGACGATTTTTCTTGAGTCTTGACGTGAGTAGATTCCGAGACTGTCATTACTGCTTCAATAAGAACTTACTCACCCAAAATGACTGATAGGTGAATTTTCTCAAGACGACATTGAATTTCACTTATTACTATCCGAACAAAGGGAGG